TTAATATAACACGTATAGTTATTTATGAAAAAAACATACAATATTAAAATAAAATTAAAAAAATATATATATAAAGATACTTGTGATCGTATCATGGTAAATGTTTGAATCAAATTTTCAAATGTTTTCAAAATTTTGATTCAAATGTTTGCCATGATTTGGTCACAAGTACTTTCATAAATTTTATTTAATTTATTTGAATACTGAATTTTTTTTTATATATATATATAACTATGTATTATATTAATTAGTGTTCTCATCACCCCTTTGTTTTGATTTGATTATTTGTATGCATTGAAGATGTGTCAAATCGAAACTCGAAACCTATTCTATTATAATAAAGATTTACATTTTTCATTATTGAATTCTCTAAATTGTTGCAAAAAATGCCCAAAAACCTTTCATCGTATATCTTTAAATACCTGAAAACACATGTGTGTATATATACATACATATATACATATATATATATACACATATAAACATAAATAAATACATAAGCATATACATAAAAATGATAAAACTAAATAAAAATATCCTAGCTATTTCAATGTAAATAAAACAAATTCAACAAGTAACAATGCCACACGATCGAATGAAGAACTCTCTGCAACATCGAAATAAATAAAAACCAAAACGCCACAAAGAAACCAACCAAAAAATGACAAAAACCAGAAAAAAAACAAGAAAATAATTGCACATCAGCCCTACATAAAAATCATCGTCATAGGCTATGAAAATTATTTATTTATTTCAGTGAAAAAATAAATAATATAACTTCCATAAGTTGAAAATAAAAAAAATCCTACCTTTGCAGCATCTTCGCCCATTCTCTTCAATATTATAAATATCTGCAAAATCTGCATCTCTCTGCAAACTAGAAGTGATGTGGGCTCGAAGTGATAAGATCATATCAAAGTGATAAGATCATATCAAAATCTGAAAATAATGAAAAATATAACATTAGATTTGATGGAAAATAATAACTATTTATATATTTATTATAATTTTATATTAATTAAGTCATATAAAATAATAAATAGATGATGGAATTATGTCATTATATCTTTATTTTAAAAAAATATTCATCTAGATGATATGAAATAATTCCATTTTATATTTATTGTTTTATGTAACTTGAAAATAATATGTAACTAGTTGGTTTGATATTTAGCCTTGAGGCAAATTACATGAACTTCCCGATATGTGTAAATAATCGACTTGATCAAAAAAATGTGTAAATAATATACTTCATCAATCCTACTTTAAAAAAAAAACGATAATAATTTTAGCAAAGTTTGACGAATTTTTAAAATTAAACTACTTGTTGTAAGGCCGTAATATTACAGTAAGTTCTATAAGACTATGATGTATATCGACAAAAAAAGTTCCATGAAAATCGGCTTAAATTTTTTTTTAACAGTTAATTACAAGAAAACGGCTCGGTAGATTTTCACCTAAAACTAATCAGTATCATTCCCAACCAATATCTTTCGAACAGTTTTTGATTTTTCAAAATCGGTTCGGTAGGATGAGCTTAAATGTGGACGAAAATTTAACACTTTTTTTCAACATTTAATTACAAGAAAACGGCTCGGTAGATTTTCACCTAAAATTAATCAGCATCATTCCCAAATGATATCTTTCGAACAGTTTTTGATTTTTCAAAATCGGTTCGGTAGGATGAGCTTAAATGTGGACGAAAATTTAACACTTTTATTCAACAGTTAATTACAAGAAAACGGCTCGGTAGATTTTCACCTAAAATTAATCAGCATCATTCCCAAATGATATCTTTCGAACAGTTTTTGATTTTTCAAAATCGGTTCGGTAGGATGAGCTTAAATGTGGACGAAAATTTAACACTTTTTTTCAACATTTAATTACAAGAAAACGGCTCGGTAGATTTTCACCTAAATTAATCAGCATCATTCCCAAATGATATCTTTCGAACAGTTTTTGATTTTTCAAAATCGGTTCGGTAGGATGAGCTTAAATGTGGACGAAAATTTAACACTTTTTTTCAACAGTTAATTACAAGAAAACAGCTCGGTAGATTTTCACCTAAAATTAATCAGCATCATTCCCAAATGATATCTTTCGAACAGTTTTTGATTTTTCAAAATCGGTTCGGTAGGATGAGCTTAAATGTGGACGAAAATTTAGCACTTTTTTTCAACAGTTAATTACAAGAAAACGGCTCGGTAGATTTTCACCTAAAATTAATCAGCATCATTCCCAAATGATATCTTTCGAACAGTTTTTGATTTTTTAAAATCGGTTCGGTAGGATGAGCTTAAATGTGGACGAAAAGTTTAACACTTTTTTTCAAATTGCAAAGAAACGGCTTGGCAGATCGTCACACAAAACTGACAAACGAAAGTCCTCACCAAAATACATCAAATAGCTTTTAAATTTCTAAAATCGGCTCAGGCGTTTTTGAGAAAACGTCGATCAAATGTCTAGCTTTGACAAATGCCAAAAAAACAATACCAATTTTTGCAAACTTTGACGAATTTTTAAAGCTTTTTGGGTACTTTTCCAAAATAAATATTACAATTTAAAAATTTTACAAGAAAATTAATTAATTCTAATATTAGATCTAGATAGAATAAAAAATAAGATTTACATATTACAGCTTTGTGGTACAAAATAAACATTGAGAACTTTTTTGAACTTTACTTTAAAAAATATATTTTGCAGGCTAGATTAATTTTATTCAATTTTAAAATTATTAATTTTTCTAACATAATCATTTAATAATTAAATTCATTTGGAAATCTGTTATAAAAACTTATTATTTTAATAAGCATTTCAATACAACACTTTTAATGCATGTAATATTTTTTAATGATGTTTAAATGACTTAATAATCATAAAAATATAAATTATTTAAAGTATAAATTAATCTTAATACATTTTTCTTTTGTATAAAATGGAGTCGATAAGATAATTTATAAAGAAAAAGCTCAGTCAATGCCGTTTGTAGTACAAACTTGTAATTCTAATATATTTTTCATGCACATCTCTTTTACAAATGACAAATACTATTATTAACTTGGTATATTAAACAAAATTGTGAATTTTTAATAATTTACCTGAATTTTCATCATACACTTGTTCACTTTTACACGGTCTTTTTGTACACGGTTTTGATATAACACGGTTTGAAAATTGAATATTTTTAATTTTTTTACACGATTTTATTCCATTTAGCACGATTTGAAATTTTATGTACTTAATTTTTTTTTGGCAAATTTAATTTTTGCAAAGTATGTTTATATCACAAAAAAGTATTTATGAAAGAAAAAATGTGAATAGCACTAATTTAGGGGAATTCCCTTTATGTGCTTACAATAAAATTTACTGGTCAGATTTAAGTAATAACCTATTCTTTTCGTTCACAACATAGTTTTTTATTTCCTGAACTTGTCATACATTTAATTTACATTACTTTTAAGATTAGAGTGCATATCTTTTTTATCATTAATTACTATGGTTGTGAAAATAAGCATTATATATTTGATTTAGTAAAATAAACATGAATTCTTGTTCTTAAAAATTCTTGTTTTTCACTAATTTTAATAGGTTTTAGAGATTAGGAACAAATCACCCATTTTTGTATAAGATCAATGTCTTTTTTACACGTTTTTTTTTTACACGGCTTCTTCTGGAACCAATCTACCGTGTAAAAACAGACTTAGGTGTATATACATTTATAATATTATTATTATTATATATATATATATATATATATATTTACAATATTATATATATATATTTATATTTATAAATAAATTGTTTAATGTATATTAAAATAATTTAATTTTTGTAATTATTTTTGAAATTTTTCAATTCAAATAATTCAAATAATCAGATTGGATGTCAAACTTGTCGAAAGGCATTAAATCCTGGAAAAATTCCCACTTTGTGTCAATTTAACGGGTTTGTATTTCCACCTGTATGGTGTATGGCATCGTGCCTTGAGGCAAATTGCTG